TGGTTTAGAGAACTTGGTGATGACAATAGTTTTTTGTGTTTTAAATTTTTTTGATACTTTGACTTGAAACACAGGTAGTGTATTTTTATACAGGTATATTTTTTTTACTTAGTACATTATGTAATAACTTAAGCAAATTTCTCATTACTTTTAATAAGCCCTAAGCCGTAACAAATGTGGCCTCGACATTGCACAATTAAAATACAAATAGGAGCACCATCCATGCGCATCATGGCACTGATAGTACTCTGATTCTTTACAGCTGTTGATGGAATTAGCCTCTTTAAGGGATACTACAGGTACGGGAAACCTGGACCATAAAACTGAGTTTTAGAGCTATTCTCACATTAGGAAATAATAGAATGAGTTCCCTAGTCATAAAAACAGAGACACAAGCAAAACCCATCAATTGAGTCAAAAAAATCCATTTAACATCCTAAGCTAGAAACAATGTATTATAAATACATCTGTGCCAGCCTAATAGATAAAGAAGGGGTGCGGGGCTGATCAACAGATAGAATTTGTTTATCGTTTAAGTATTTGTCTAGAAGGCCTTCTACAAGACAGTAGTCGGTTACATTTAACATCTGCCCAAGATGTGTATTTTTATCGAGACACCATCTCTAGCTTTTACTCAACCAAAAGCCCCAAAGCAGGGGGTGTTTTAAATTGGAGTTGGCTTCTTCTAGTCTTTGCCTAAAAAAACGTATCCTACAATTTTAAGTAAGTAAATTTGGAACAGGATAAAAATTTTTGCTTAATCGAAATATTTACTAAAATTTATAAACTTTTAGCCTTTTTTTTTTAGTTTTTTTTTTTTAAGTAATAAATAGTAATCATGATTAATAAATGCAGCCTTTATTGAAAACAGCACAACATTTATTAACCTTTATAGTTTTATGTAACTAATTTGATTTTAGAAAAGACATAAGTTATATTTGTCAGTAGATTTTTTGGGATATTCAAGGACTGTACAAAAAGTAAGAATGTCGTTTCTCAAAAATAAGTATTAAACAAATTAAACTTAAACTGATTTAAAATGTAAACAAAATACTCTTATTTTTTTCTCTGTCTTTTTTTAAAGGCATCAGTTTTATTTGCAATAATGGAATAATGGAAAAATAAATAATAATGGAAACTCTTTTTCTGATGTTATTAAAATAAATATTTGAAGTAATAGTGTGTATAATTTCCTTTCCACAATTTTGGTGATTAAAACATAAAAATGTTTGGTAACCTTTTCTACTGCTAAAAAATTCTGAAAAAATTTTCCTGCTCGCAATAGATGAATTTCCAGCTGATTTCTATTATTAATCAATTAAAAGCAGCATTTGCTTACAGATCTGCCTCATATTCAGATGTGGCCAGCAGAACTGGGATTATGAATAATTTGCAAACATTATCTCTTTGGAAGTGATAAAACATTGTGGTACTTCAGCAGCATATTACTCCAATGACATTGAAGTCAGCAGTCACACAAATGAATTCTGATGATACAAAAAGAAGCAAGGTGTTGTTGGTATACCGCATTTTGCTCAACGATGGTTTGGTAGAAACTTTTCCGAATGTTGCAATAGCTTTTAGAATTTACCTTTACCTAATGGTGGCAAGTTGTACAGAAAAAAAAAAAAATTTTTTTAACTAAAACGTATAAAAAATGAATGCCATACTAGAATTAATCAAGAGCGGACTGACATGCTTTCTTTGATGTGCATTAAAAGATACAACTTACATTTAGCGACATTATTAAACAACTTGCCAGATAAAAATCCAGAAAATGTCACCTTAAATTTTAATTACATGACTGAAATATTAAATGCTATATGCTATTATATATTAGAATTGCATGATATGCAAAGTAAAAACAATTTAATCACTTATATTAATTAATGTAGTTTATGTAAATTATTTTGCAAATATATTATAAAAATAAATAAAGAAATATTTCGATATAAATATATGCATGTGGTGTATATATATATATATATATATATATATATATATATATATATATATATATATATATATATATATATATATATATATATATATATATATATATATATATATATATAATTAAAAAAAAATTATAATTATATATAATTACCTCCATTAAAAAAACGATTCTTGCTAGTTACGTTTGAAACGGTTACAGGTTTTTTTGTGCATGTATATATATATATATATATATATATATATATATATATATATATATATATATATATATATATATATATATATATATATATATATATATATATATATATATATATATATGCACAAAAAATTCTTTTTTATAACAATAGTTTATCTAATAACAATATGATGATGTTTTGAGCGAAAAAAAAAAAAACTCATTAAAAATATTTTCAAATTTACCGGGAGAATTTTGAACTAACCGTAAGACCGTGAGATTGGTTATCAAACCGAGTCTCACAGTAAAACTTGGAAAGTTGGAAGATCTGCTTTATGCGATTTCGAGATAAAATTCAACTACTACCAAATCTACGACAAGTTAACCATAAGACTAAATATTTTTGACCAGTACTTATAAAATAAAGTTTTAATTTTAATTTTAGTTTGTCTTTTGATATAAAAAGACAAACTTCCGAATGTAACTCAGATGTATTTTAAACGTTCCACGCTGACGTAAACTGAACGTACATTGTACGTTTTTTGTACGTCCGGTTTACAATTAATGATATACGTGTACCCTATTATTGAATTAGAACAATCTGAGCTATTGCGCGTCATCATTCAAGTTGCTGTAACGTGGATCTGCTGCCCATGATATAAGGCAATCTAAAGTGTATAGGGTAAGAGTGCGTTTTTAGCTAACAAAAAATTCTATTGGACTAGACTAGATCATTCCATTGAACTATGATATGCCTAAATATATTTTTTTAGCCCCTAAACTTATTTACTTATAATTTTTTATTACTTTATAAAGAGCATCAAATCGTTTTGAAGGAAAGAGACTCGTCCACATGATTCCAGTCAAGTTGATGCGAGCCTAAAACAATCATCATTCAAGTCACGCGGAATGATCCATTTTCTCGAGAAAAAAACCCGGCTAATATTACTCGGAAACTGTGTAACTTCCTATTAATCCTGTTAAGTGCGAGCTATTCTGACTAATCCTGTTAAGTTTTCATTCTAATTTTTGATTAAAATCTGCTTTTACTACTAAGTTCCATGCGAGTACTTGTCAGGAACTTAGTAAGTATTATCAAGTACTTAATAGGATTAGCCATGTTTTTTTCTCGGGTTGTAAAGCAACTAAAACGAATGTGGAAGTTTGCTCTTTTTTAGAGCCCAAGGAAATGTGCTTTATAAGTCAAGACAATAAAGCTCGGATCCTAATTGGAATCACCGCTGCTAACAAACAAGCTCCTATTATAGTGCATAAGAAGTATTGAGTTTCTCTTCTTGATCATGATTCGGGCATTGCTGCAAAGTACAATCTCATCCCGTCTCTTTACGCAGACATTGAAATCAAACCAGATGGGCTTGTAAAATCTGACGCAGTTTTATATTTCGGTACCATTTATGTTTCTGTTTGATCTGGAAAGCATTCATTATCTACAGCGTATGCTCACGGAATGAACGATATTTAACTTTGCCAGAGTTCGATTCTATTACAAAAGACCCTTTGGCCAAGTTGGTCAAGCCAGTGGTTGTCTTCAGTGTTGATTTAGCGGAATTGATTTTCCCTCATGTTCATTATGGAACTCATCTAGAATCTTTAGGAATTCAAATTCATTTTTAATATCAGCTCTTTATCAAAACACAATATATATATAGCAAGACTTATGGAATTAATTATCGGCGTTGCTACTTATATTTAAGGTGGGACAGTAAATCTTTATTTGGAGAAAGAGAATTTTGGTTTTGCTGGAAAGATCTGTGGGTATATTTTTTCAGGTCTGATGATTGATCAGTTTTCAATGGTAGTTGAGTATATTGTTCCAGACAGCAAGATGCTTGTCATCTCTTATCGAAAGATCAGAAATGGTTTGCCTTTCATGTGCGTACCAGCCAATATTTCACACAAATTGTGAAATGTGAGTATCTTGAATGTTGTTCTTTGAAAAGAAGCTCTTATTTCCATATTATTCTACGTTGATTTTTACCTCCACCTATTCCAATCTACCAGTCAGAAGATAGCTTGAAAGCTGTAATCGTTTCAAACGTAACTAGCAAGAATCGTTTTTTTAATGGAGGTAATTATATATAATTAAAAACTTTTTTTACTACCTCCAATCTTCAAAGTACTATTCCTTGATTATTGAAATTATTCTAACTTTCTCCTTAGGATCTATTTTGAGAGAGGTGAGAGGCGTAAACAATTGTTTAAAAATGGTGACATCCTTTAAGGACTTATTAGAACTTTCGCCTAAAAATGTTTTGTGAATCCGCACCAGATATTAGTGAACCCTAGAAATTTAACCAAAAAATAGTAAGTTATCTAATCGTGGTATTAATTATAAGATAATTTTCCTTGCAGCTATTTGATTAAATTTCTAAATTTTAGGCGTTGCTACTTTATGGATAACCCTATATACATATACTTTATACATACAGATACTATATACATTTTTATAATAAGTTGTTGTATTGAATGGTCTAAATTAGTTTAGTGTTGTTTTTTATTATATGGTATTTGTGTTGTTTTTTTGACTTTTTTAGAGAAAATCAATGTCAGTCCTCCTGCAATTTTTTAGATTTTGTGCACTAGTTGGTAATCTAGGTATAATAAAATTTTATCAAGATATCTTAATTAGCCTTCAATCAGTTTAATGATTGATAAAATTGTGCACAGCCATACATTATATTTCCTTCTGTCATTTAATAATTAAATAAAATATTTATAAACATAAATGAATGACGAAGGTTAACTAGTGTTCATAGGGGTATACATTATTGATTAAAGAAAGTTGAATGCAATCTTGTGTTCCTCATTAGTTTTAAAGAAATAAATAACATTATTTTTTGTAAAACATACGAGCCCATTTGCAAAACGCGTAGATTTACTGAGTAAACTGATTTTGAGAAAACAACAAAAAACTTAACTACCCATAGTTGCGCATCAACAGAAATTGATAATTTCTTTGTCCATTTTTTAAACCAAAAATTTTTAATTAATCTAATAATTAAATAGATAATAGATTTTAGTACATAAAATGTGGAAATAGAAGTATCTCAATATTTTTATTTTTGTGACTTAGCGTGTTTTGCAGATGGGCTCGTACAAAATATATTTGCATTATATAAAAAATATATACAACTATTTACAAAATACACTATAGATAAAAAAATTCACCCTAAGTAAAACTCTTATTATATCATGCTATTAATCATACATATCGCTGTATATCATACATCATGTATATCATATCATATGATATGTGTATACGTATGATATGTATAAGTTATTGTACATATCACTGTATATCAAACATATGAAATGTATAAGAATCATACATAGCGCTGTATATCATACCATATGATATATACAATATATCATATGGTATGATATACACATGTACGATATATACATATGATATGTATAAGATATCATACCTATCACTGTATATAATACATATCATGCATATAAATCATACATATTGCTGTATAAAATTCTCAATCATGCATAAGATTTTTCAAAAAAAAAATTAAAAAGAACTTGTGTGATTAAACCTAAACACTTTTAAAAAGATAGCAAAACAAAAAAAAAGAAAAAAATGCTTATAAGATTAAAATTACAAAATCAAATTGAGAAAAAAGATTTAAACTTAAATGTTCATACTAGTGTCAAATGATGCTCTAACCACTAAAATTAGCAAAAAAACATTTAATTTTGTAAGAAAAGAAGATTTATCATTTAGTAAATAGCAGTAAAGTAAAACATAGGAAGAAAAAAAAAATCAACACCATAATTCCAATTGTAAGAAAAATTAGGCTTTTAAATTATTAATTTGAACTATTTTACCATTATTAAACAAGATCAAAGATTTTACCAAAAAAAATTTTTTGTTATAAAACAATAGTTGTTTCTTCGAAAAATTTCCCAAAATGAATAAAACAACTTAATGTCAATTTCAAACATATTGATATATATTTTAAATAATGCCATTTTAGACTATTTATCCTCACTTGACACCAAAATGAACAGAAAAAAAGATTGGATCCCTAAAAGCTTCACATTAACCTAATGACTTATTTGAACCTCTTACTTATAATATTAAAAACTTCAATTATTTACATTATAAAAAAAATATATTAAAATAATAAAAGCATAAATTCTATGTTTTCATTTTTTATACAAAATGAAAAACTTATGATTATGTTCACTTTTCTTCCAAATAATGTAAAGACATTCGATAGAGTTCTTTTAATTTTTCACGATCTGATGTGCTTAATTCTTTAATATAATACGACATTTTTTTAACATTATTTTCGCAATTCTGAATAAAAGACTCAACTTCAATTTTTTCTGCAATGTTTTTATTATAAGCTTCTAAAACTTGTTGTGGTTGTTGAAACTGATTATTGTGATTTGAGATTTCTGTTGATTTAAAAACTTCATATTTACTGCTTTCATATTCAGAATAAGGTTTCAAAATTTCTCTATCCAAATAATCATTGAAGTTATCAAAAAGGCTATCATAATTTTTTAAAAAATCTGGAACAGGCCAATCAAGACAATGGTTCTTCCAGTCATTCCACTTTTCAACAAAGATTTCACAATCATTTATTCTGTAAAACAAGTTCAACCCCATGCAAGATTCAAAGTTCTCAAGAGTAATATAACAAAGTGAACAAGGTTTTAAAGAAGTTGCCATATAAATATCCATCTGCTTAACATTTTCAAATCCTAGAGCCTCTAAATGATCTAAAACTGCCATTTCAACATGTACATTTTCTTGATTCGGTAGAAATTCTATTGAAATCTGCTCATTTTTTTCTCTTGATTTTAAATAACTTTCAATGCTCTCTTTTACTGTTGCATCAATTTTACTGTTGCATGAAATCTTGAAAGTTTCATCAAAAAATAAGATGGCATCGAATTTGATCTCATTCGAATCAGAAAAATTTTGATTTAATTTCAAAAGCAATTCCATAAGATCAGCAAACTTATCATTGATAAAAAGTTCAGGTTTTTCTAAAAACTCTAATGGAAATAAATTTCCTTCAAACAAAGACTTAGTACTTTTACGTAGATTTAAAAAGACATCACGTCGAGAGGAAGCGATAAAACATAGGCTTTTTTCATGCTTGTTTTCAGAATAGATGTTGTTATTATCACTATCGTCATTTTCTTGGCCATCTCGTTCTGTATGAGTCCTTAAAATAATGAAAATGATTCCAAACTAATTTTTTTTAATAATAAACAAAATAAACAATATCAATTATTAGCATCACCGGAATAACTATAACTAAATGACTACAACTAAGAATTAAAAATATCTCAAGTTTCATCATAAATACCTTTCATGATTTTTTAGTTCAGTAGTATCTACTTTTTTCAATGTAAAACTTTCATTAACATCTTTAATAATGATTTGACTCATCTTATTAGTTTATTTTGCTAAATTGATTTGTTTTTGATCGCTCACGGTATAGTTAAAAAATTTAAATTTTGAACGTAAATAAACGCACGCGTAATAGTTTGAAATAAAACCTTTTAAAGGTAATGTAATTACGTAACTTGTTCGAACAAACGACCCTGAACGTTCAGGGTTGTTTTAGCGTGAAACGTAAAGCGAAATAGTTCCTGGCTTTTAATAGCTTAAAATTATTTAGAGATAAAAATTTTAATAAAAAAGAGTTTATTATATAATTAAATATATTTAAAGTAGTACAATTAATAATATAAAAACCTTAAAAATTAATTTAAATTGGTAATAAAAAGCAGTACCGCTGAGAGGGGGTGGGGGAGTCGCGATGGACAGTTTGTCCCGGGCGGCAGATATCCAAAGGGCGCTAAATAAAAAAGTAGGTACCTAAAAAAAAAAAGGTCCTTCAAACATAATAATAAGAAAATATGATAAATAAGGATTGCTGTCCCAGGCGGCGGAACAGCTTTCGGCGGCCCTGATTAAAAGTAATTTAATGCAATTTAATAGAAACCAGGCATTGATATTAAAAGATTAAAGAAAAAATTGTTAGTCGGTAAAATGCGAACTGCGAACCGGCAAAATGCGATTTTTTTTTTGCAAACCATGACATAATTTAATGACAACTACATTTATGATATTTAAAAAAACGTTTGCTTATTAATTTTTTAAATCGAGCTAAATATTATTATCTCATTGAAACTCATTATCTAATCTGTTTCAATCAGCAAAAGTAGAAACAATAATAAAGATAAAATCAAGTTAATTCATAGATAGCATTTATGGAAATGTTGTCTTGGCTATTATTCACCTAAATGAATAATAGTACCTATTATTCATTTTAACAATAGTTACTAACGGGAAGGTAAGCCAACCTGTCTATCAACACAAACCATTACAAAAAGTAACATCACAACAATAACACGGACACACAAAAAGATATATAGAATAATACATTTGTAAGTACACGGCTTGGCTGGCAAGCCTAACAACCTTAATCTAGATTGCTAAGCCGCACCACTTTAAAAACTTATTTTTATTTTTATTTTTTAAATTTTAGGTGTTATTTTAAATATACTTTTTTTAAAATTAGGTAATATTTTTAATATCAAATCATTTCGGCTTTCTAAACAATTGACAAGCAAATGTTGTTCTTTAAGTTCCTAACTTTTGACCAATTTATTTCGGAAAAGATCTTTATTACATTATTCTTAACTAATTTATTTTTTTCAACTATATTTATAAAAGAAACATTTTAGGAAAATTTTAGGAGAACTGACTGTAGTTTATATTGGCTGTTTGATGTTAAATATATATATATATATATATATATATATATATATATATATATATATATATATATATATATATATATATATATATATATATATATATATATATATATATATATATATATATATATATATATATATATATATATATATATATATATATATATATATATATATATATATATATATATATATATATATATATATATATATATATATATATATATATATATATATATATATATAGATATATATATAGATATATATATATATTTAACATCAAACAGCCAATATAAACTACAGTCAGTTCTCCTAAAATTTTCCTAAAATTTTTGTTTTTGTTTATATCGTGTTACAATTATATAAATCATAATACACTTATATAAATTGTAATACACTTATATAAATCGTAATACAATTATATAAATAACTTTATAAATAAAAGCTTTACAAATATAAACAAGGTTTCTGAAAGAAGATCTCATTGATCTTGTCGTCAGAACCTTTTAAAAGCGTAAAAAGCAACAACAACAGTAAAAATAAATAAGAAATTATATATTATACAGTGCGTTATTGCATATTAGAAGTAAGTCATTATATCGTTTATAGAAAAAAAAAATTTTTTTAGTTTATTTTTAAAAAGTTCGAATGAGGTTGATAAATCAAAATTATTCAAAACAATTTTGTTGCAGAGATAAGGTGCACGATATCCAATACAAAATTGATTAAACTTTGTACGACAAAATGGTTCATTTAAAAAATTTTCATTTTGCAAAGTATATTTGTTTATTTTTTTGATAAAAAAATCTTTAAAAATGGATAGTGCTGAGTCATCTTTACATTGAAACTTTACATTAAAACAAAAACACAAAATTTTATAAATGTTGAGTTGATATACATTAAGGACATTCGCATCTTTAAAGAAAAAGTTTGAATGCGTTAAACGGTTTTTAAAATATATTAAACGCATAGCGTGTTTCTGACGACGATAAAGAAGTCGCAATTTACTTTTGTTTGTGCTTCCCCAAGCAAGATTGGCATAGTTAATATAGCTATGTATAAAGGAGTAGTAGAGTTGCATTAAATTCTTTTTATCTAGAAAATATCTGATCTTAAATAGGATGCCAATACTTTTAGCAACTTTATTGCTAATGTAGTCAATATGAGTTTTCCGTGTAACATTTTCATCAAGAATTATTCCTAAAAACATTGTGGCGGTTTCTCTCTTTATTTCAATTTCATTAATAAATATTTTTGGCATAAGGTTTGGCAAAGATCGTTTTTTTGATAATGGGTGAAACAGAATATACTTTGTTTTGTCTATGTTTAAAGTTAGTTTATTACATTTAAACCAGTCAGAGATAAACTTAAGTTCTTTATTCATTTCGTAGAACAGTTTTGTAATGCTACGGTTTGATATAAATAATTTTGTATCATCAGCAAACATGATGTTTTTTAAGTTTGATACTTTATTTATATCATTTACATAAATTAAAAAAAGAAGAGGCTCGAGAATCGAGCCTTGAGGAACACCGCAAGTTATTTGAGTCATTTCGCTTTGGCGTCTGTTATTGACGGGGACAAATTGTTTTCTATTTGTTAAATAACTTTTATACCAATTTAAAAGATTGTTATTTATTCCATAATATTTGAGTTTTTGCAGTATTCCAAGTGCGCTTGAGTCTATTATATTCCAAGTGCGCTTTGAGTCGTTTTAAAATTTTTTAATAAGATTTGAATAATAGATTTTTTTCAAATTTTTTCGAGTCTTCTCAAAGATATTTTTATAATTCTTATATACTATTTCATTTGCAGAAGACTTTGTTTTTAGATATTTAATATATAATTTTTGTTTTGTTCTGGAGGATTTCTTTAGTCTTTTTGTAATCCAGGGACTATTTAATGATTTAGTATTTATTCTTTTTTCGCAAATTGGAAAGTTTGCGTCATACACTAAGTAGAATGTTTCAAAGAATTTATTATAAATGTTGTTTGCATTGTCGTTAAAGTCAATATGCTCCCAAAGTAGTAGAGATAATTGAGACTTGAACGATTCGAGATTTTTTTTGGTAAAATAACGCTTTCTAGTAATTTTATTTGTTGTTAAAGTATGCGTTGATCCGGCATTAAATGTTAAGAAAATGGGAAAATGGTCTGATAAATCAGTTTTTACAATACCCGTTTGAATGCTGTAATTGAAAATGTCTGTTGTAACAATATTATCAATAAGAGTTGATGTGTTTCGTGTTACCCTAGTTGGACGATTTATCAGCGGAATCGCTCCGGTTGTAAATATTTCATCATAAAATTTTTTTACTTTATAGTCATTGTATAGTAAACAATTCATATTTAAATCTCCTATTATATAATTTTTTTTCTTTTCATAATTTCCTTTGTTAATTATTTTTTGTTGTAAATACAAGCTAAAATTTTCGGACGCACCATCAGGTGGCCTGTAACACCAGCTTAACAGAATATTGTTTCTTTTTTTCTTTTTTATATAATATTCGTCACACTGTTGTTGTATAATTTTATGCTTATATATATGCTTAAAATTAGAAAATCCATTGACTTTGTAAAGCCACAAGTAAAAGATTAGATCTATTTATTTGTGGCTATTAACATAATAAAATATTAATGTATAAAGAATATATATTTTTAACTCTTAACGCAGGAAAAAAATTTAAATATTATTAATCGATGATATCATTTCTACATTGCTATCTAAAATAAAGTTCAACACTTGCACAATAAACCTAAAACAATACTTTAATAAAAAAAGTGTTTACCCAAGCATTATTAGTTTTTTTTTTTTTTTTTTTTTTTTTTTTTTTTTTTATTTAGGTGCCCCAAGAAGACCTAAACGTCTTGTCACAGAACACCGCGGAAGTGCATTTAACCAGGAAGTTTATGCCTCCTTCCTTAATGTGACGCGAAAATATGTTCAGAGCTCGTTTCGAACCTGGATCTCCTGCTTATAAAGCAAGCGCTCTAAAGGCGAGTTTCCACTCATTCGTTTTTGTATGGGAACGGGAAAAGGACGGTAAAAATAATCACGTGCGCATGCGTAGTATAAGTTTTAATATGTCCGAAGGAAAATTACGCATGCTCATGTGATTGTTTTTCCCTTTCCTATCCCGTTCCCGTGAAAAAACGGATGAGTGGAAACTCACCTTAACCACTGCGCCCTGGCCGCATAATTTTTATAATCTTTATTATATAAAAACATGGCTGTCCGAAAAATACAAGAATATTGAAAAAAAAAAAATGAATTTGATTTCTTGAATAAACTTTCTTCAGTATGACCAATTGGCATACGCTCTGTCATATGTTTAATCTCTTTTGTCGCAGAAGTTACAGATTTTACTAAATCTAATCAAATCAAATTGTTATAAGTATTTAAAAGAAAGACAAATTAATATATGCACTTTAAAAGGTTTTTCAGCTTTAAGTAAGTTTTCAATGGAAGACAATCGGTATTCAATTGACTGTGTGATTGGTGTAAGGGTGTGTAAGGGTGATTATTAACTATAATTATTCTACTTAATAGCAAACTGAAGAAAAATTTATTAATTTAGGATCATTTGGTAATGACACGAAGCTTTGACTAGATTTGCCTTGGTGTTAAATCTCTCGAAAAACATTCTAATCAATCATCATATTTTAATATCTAATAATAACTTTAACAAGTTTTAACTTAAAGTATTGCTTTCAAGCAACACGTTTAATACTTATAGCATGG